CAAAAATTGCAACTATTGTATTATGAATTGCCTAAAACAATCTACGGTGTTTTACTGTCTGCAATATTTTGTAGAGCGTACCATTTGGAGTAATTTGGTACTCCATGGATTCTCGTGATGGATGGCACGATCCATGAAAAGAGCAACTTAATTTATAATCGTTGAGCAAAAACATATTAAAATCCAAATAATAAGTTCAACTTTGCTAAGTACCATTGAGAATTATTATAAAGAACGATAAAAAATATATTTTAAATTAATTAATTATATTAATTGATTATAATAATTGATTAACGATATATATATATATATATATATACGATAATTATTATAAATTATTGATTAACGAATTGAACGTTTATCTAATTCTAGTATCCCGACGCACAACATCGAACCGGGGAAAAGTATGGTACCGGAAGGCCGAGTAAAATTGCAAACTGTAAAAACCTTGTTTAAAAATAAAATAATCCGAAGGCAAGCACAACGAAAATAAATTTTCGTTACAAAGTGGTAACCAACATCGGAAACATCATAACATCTAATGAGAATGATTTAAAAGGCCTAAATCAAGTGGACTGCACCCACCAAAAAGAGGCTGATGGCCGTATTATTTGACGGGGGACATGGCAAATTATGGTGCTAAATCAGTTCTAATCCGATGCTCTGATACAGACGTTTTGGTTTTGGTAGTGCTATTCTACCATCAATTAAATGAAATTGGTCTTGAAGAGTTATGGATATTGTATGGAACTGGAAAATCTTATTTATATTTCCTTATATTCCAGCACATTTAATTGCTCTTGCCCTGCGAAAAGAAAAATCATAGGTACTAAGAGGATTTCATGCCTTCACTCTGGCTGTGATACGACCTCATTCTTTATGGGGAAGGGCAAACGAACGTTTTGGAAGGTCTGGACCGAGGAATTCAATGAAGTTTTTGCTGCAATTTCCAAGCCTTCGAAAAATATCGATAATAGTTAAAAGTCTGGAAAAGTTTGTTGTCAAACTATATCGGATTCAGGAAGTAGACAATGTGAATCAGGCCAGAAAATTTTTATTTATGTCCCAAAGTAAGCCATTGAATTTACTGCCTCCAACTGCAGCTGCTATATACCAACACGCAATGAGGGCAGCATATCAGGCAGGGCAGATTTGGGGAAGATCGACCGATATACCGCAAACTGAGACATTCTTCTTGGGTGTGGTTTAAAGAAGGGACAAAGTGGAACCCTTTGTGGTCTGCGCAATCAAATATATGGTAAGCTTGTCGTGCATTGGATAGGTGTGGATGCACGACCCAATGCGACACTTTAAGGTGTCTCTGCAAGGGAAGTAACCTACCTTGTACACCTGCATGCAAGAAATGTAGAGGGAATTGCAGTAATGTAACTATCGGCTCTTAATTTGCAACCAAACTACCAAAAGACGTAAAAATACTTGCAACTTATTGCTTATACTTTTTTTAGGCAGTATTATAGGATCCGATTTGCCAATTTGCAGTGATAGCGAGAACGACGACGATTTGGAGTTGTAAACAATAAATAAAATGAGTTAGTAAATTGAAAAAATATTTTTAAAATTTAATATATTTATTTTATTACTTTTTTAAATTAAATTGACCCGAAAAATGCGTTTATTAAAATCTTTACGGGGAAGCGGGTTGGTTAAACCCCCAAACCCCCCCTTGTTCACAACCCTGCAAAATAAGAGTGTTCGGTAAAATTGCATTTAATCTTGTTTAAAACATTCAAATAATAGCACATTAAAGTTTCACTTTAATGTTCAATAATTTTTGTAGGTTTTAGCCCCACCTAATACATAAATGGCACCATAAAATAATTGGGGGAGGTTATATTCGGTTTTGATATCCTGAAAAACCTGCAAGTCGATACCAATATCAATAATATGCGACATTTTTTAATATAGGCACCCAATTTTAACCCCTCCCCCCACTCCGCCAGCAACCGTTTGAACGGCGGAGCTGCGGGTCAAATCGAGTGTTTTCGTCTAAAATCATCTGTGCAAAGTGTGTCGCTTTCCTCATTAATATCCACATTTTTCCACGTAGCCCATAGACTAATGGAGCTTATTTGAACGCTGGAGCCACTCTGTACAAAACAATAAGCTGATTAACATTTTAATGTTCTTAAAATTTAAGACAATATAATTCTAAAGTAGCCCCTTTAAACAGAAATGACAAATACACGAAAAACTTTTAAACTCGTTTGTCTTTTTTCCGTACGCTAAAGCAATTAAATCATCAGCTTTAATTTATTGTAATACACCCTAAACCTACTCTAATTTTTCTTTCAAACTTTTACTTGACAAAAAGATTCCAGTCATTAGCATTATTAGAAATGCACCCCTTCGCTTCTACCTTTTTTTAATCAGCAATGATCCCAGTTGGTTTGGCATTGAATTTACAGTTAGAGTCAAGCTTGTTTATTGGTTTCATTACAATTTTATATAAATTTGTCTATCAAATTATTGAGATTATTTTCAAAGAAGCATTCAAGTTCATTTGTTCATCTTTTTTTAAAGCTATGTAATGAAAGTCATTTTAATTCTAGTCTAGTAAGTCATCACATTAAACTTTATGATTCCACAGTCTAATCCAGAAAAATTAAATGAAGACCTTTATAGCGGGTTTAGATACTACACACTTTTAACATTATTCACACAAACACATCTAATGAAATATGGACGTTATAATACGATACTAAAAAAATTATCTAAATAAGTACAAGATGAAATTAAAAAATTATTTCAAATATATAAGATGAAAATATGCCATCAGCATAATTTTCAGCTTATTCAACCATTTTACCCTCCCTCACATATTTAGATACTCTCTTTGTAGTTGGGCCCATTGGTTGTCTATTGTTAGCAATGCGGGCCCAAGTTATTACTGCTAATTTCCTTATGTCATGGTCCCATCTTAGGTTTAGTCTTCCTCTAGGTCTCTTGCTGTAATTTTTGTGGTCCATCTGTTTTCTGTTCTTCTTGCCAGGTGTCCTGCCCATTACCACCTGAGGGATTTGATTCTGTTGATGACATCTATTACCTGGGTCTTTTGTCGTATCCACTCTATTCTTTTACGGTCTCTTTTACGATCTCTTTATAGTTATTCCCAGCATATGTCGTTCCATTGAGCATTGTGCGACCTGCAGTTTCCTTATATTATCCGTTTTAAATCTTCAGGATTCGCATGCATAGGTCATGACTGGTAGTACATATTGGCCGAAAGTTCTCTTCTTCTTTAGATAAAGTGGCATTCTGGATTTGAATGTTAGTTGTTTGAGCGTATGTTTGTATCACTTGCAAGCAATATTTCTCTGGTAGTTGGAGTTTTAGGCTTGCCATGAAATGTTTTATGAAAATATGTATGAAAAAAAAAATGTTGTATGAAAAACATAGAATGTAAAAAAATGCCAAGTCTCACAACGCAGTTCTTCCACTACAAAAAGTTGTAAGATCTCATGCAAAACCAAGTCAGATTATTTTATTTAGTTTCTGTTGAAAGCACCTATTCAACAATTTTGTTATAAATTGTTAATATTAATATTAGACATCTTTATTTCTGTAATAATTATAATGACTTGGCAATTGCACGATGTTATATTCTACTAATTAAAATACTTTATTCTTAAGTGCACTGCTCGAGTAATCGAAATGGTAGATCTTTCTATTATAGTTATGGTGCCGTGCAAACTTTCTACGTTTTTTGTTAGCTACGTCTCATCTTCCTAGTTTTTTCTCGGGTAATATATCTTTCAAAATAAGAATTTAACTAGCTATAATTTATAAACTTTGAATTATATTTGTCATCCTGATATGTAGATAAAATTATATAATATCAAATCGATAAATTCTAGTTTTCTAACTTCGACTGGATAGTCAGTTGCAGGTAGCGGCTAAACGCCTAATTTTTAATGCGTAAAGATATTTCGACATTTTTAATTTTTTCATTCCATTATAAGCTAAAAGTAGGTGCTTTTAGCTTTTAACTTAAATTCAAAATTTGAAGTGTAGTGGTAGAAAAGTCCCTTAAAATGTCTATGACGGTAAATGAGCCACCGTTGAAATCGAGGAAGTTTGACTAGCAATAATTCATAAACTTTGAATTATTGTTGTTACTTTGATATATTAATAAAATCAGACAATATCAAATATATTAACTATTTTAGTTTACTAATTGTTTGACGACTGGAAAGTCAGTTACCGGGGCGGCTAGACACCACCAACACAACTTTTAATCCATAAGGAAATCTAGATATTTCTCATTTTTTCATTTTATAAGCTTAAAGCTACCTAAAATTCCATCCTTTAGGAGATGCGAGACTTTGTCGGTGATGGGAAAGCTCCTAGTCAGATGTTGGGGAAATGCATTTTGGCACTTTGGCTGGATCTAAGAACCATCTCATCTTGCACCTGCACACAAAAAAAGAAATACTTCATTGATGTAATCATATTTTCTCAAAAGTTTTTACTAAATTTAAATAAACGGATACTTTTTTCAAGTATATATGTTTTGTTTAAATATATGCATTTGCTTAAAAGCAAAATAATAATTTTTCATTATATTTTCTTAATTTAAAATAATATTTTTGTTTAGAAACTCTGATAGTATTAATTAAAGTTTTAAATATACTGCTTCAAAAATAAGTTACATTTTCTATTTAAAATACCAGTCTATTTCAATGAACTTTATTAGGTTTCGATCAAGAAAAATAAAATATTATTTTAAGAATCTTATATATTTCATTTAAAACAAATCTTTGCTTTAATTGTTTAGTATAAGATCACAATATTATTCAAATAAAAATAACCAAGGAATTAAAACAGAGTTTTTCTTAAAATAAAAATATTTTAGACATTTTGAAACTACTATGTTTCTGTTTAAATATATTTTGCTGCACAAACCAATTAAAAAATAAACATATTTACTAGGATTAAAATTATTTTTTTTTATTAATTTTGTCTTGAAAATTAGCAAATTTCATTTCACCCCTTCCCATCACTTGTTTTCTAAACCTGCTTCAGGCGGCCGGTAATCGGTATTTTATAGTTGAGTTTTGAGTTGAACAGTTGCTTGATGGGACGCGGTAGGGGTGTTGCATGGGTGTTGCTGTTGCGTTTGGTGCCGTGGTGCGATTAGTTATTAATTATGGAAAAAAAGTTAGTAGTTAAAAAGTAAGTAAAATACTATAATAAATAAAAAAAGTTAATACTCTTTTTACTCAGCTGAACTCGCTTTTGAATTTACATAAGCAAAAACTAAAAATAATTATTTTTTAGTCGACTTCAACAAGATGAGTACAATTCTTTGGCTGCTAAAATAGTGCTCCTTTTCCCACAAAGCCAATGGGAGTGTATTACTGTCCCCCTGTGAAAAGAGCATGTAGTCCATTTCACAAGACAGTTATGGCTAAGGGCAAACTAGTGAATCACTGCAGAAATATTTTATTTAGATCTGGTGATACCCAAAAACAAAGAAAAAGGCCAGATGACGAAGACTTTTGGTATTGTCCCGAAACAAAAAAAAGATAATTTAGAAGGTATAGCATTACAATAGTAAAATTTAGTTGAAATTAGCAGAAAGCAATCATTTTTAGATACATTTAAAGAAGAAATTGCATAGCTGCAACATAATACCGAGCCATGGAATAAAGTAATGGAATATTGGACTCGAACCTGGGAAATTCGATCCACATCATGTGACATGTCATCCTCAGTGTCGCAATACCTTGCAAAATGACCAAACCAAACCAATGTTTATGCTGTACATACTAAAAATAAACTTTTAACAGAGATATTTTTGCCTTACTTTAAGAATTTTATTTTACTCAAATGAAACAAAAAGAAAATTGTTCGGAAAATTGAAAAGTCTCAAATTTAAAAATATATTTATTCAGACTAAGTAAAAACTTTTGTCGCTTCAATTCGTTCGTATCTTAAAACAAACTTTTACCCTTGTTTATATCATATACAAGGCTTTTACTAATATTCATTTTGAGAAATAAGTTACTCAAATGCAGATTGAATATACTTTAATCAAGAAAACCATTATATAACTTTAAATTCGAGGCATTTCAAACAGAGTAAATGCAATTTTTATTGTAGAATAAGTTTATTTTCGCTTTAAATGATTTGATATCTTAAAACAACAATCGTTTGTGTCTTAGATATAGTAATATTTAAATCTAAAATTTTTATTCTTGTTTTATAAAATAAATCATTCATTAGGAGAATATTGCAGCATTAAATTTATCATTCTAAATAATCAGTATAAATATTTATTTCTTTGCGTATATACAAAGTTAAGATTTATTCTATTTGAGTATTAAATGTTCAAAATAAGAATATTCTTTTTTGTGTGTGGTTGGAATGTGGTGGGCAGGAAATTGCACCAAGACGTATAACGAAGCCGGATGGGACTACCCTGTCCGTCATCCAGGCCTCTACTAGCCATAGCTATACCGGGTGCGTCTCAAAAGTGGGTCACCCATATAATTTTTTTATTTTTTCAGAAAAAAAATGAAATTTGGTATGTTAGTATATGACATAAATTAGGATTGATTAACGTATTCAATTGTTTTCTGTCACTTCCTGTTTCACCGGAAATGACTACAACCAAAGAATATTATAGTTATTCGTAGTAGAATTATCTTTCCTACAACTTTTGATTTTTAAATGGCACCCTCGGTATTTTTTTACTTTATTCGATAGAAAATGACACTCCGAATAGAATGACATATCATAATATGTCAACTTTTCACATTTTCGTTTAAAATAGAATTGTATTTTAAATTTCAATCTAGAGTGCCATGGCTGTGTCAAAAACACTAATTTTCAATCAAGGAGCCTTGGAAAAATAGATTTGATTGCCTAATGTTTTTAGTGTCTTGACCATAACTAAGAAACATATTTTATTTATTAATATACAGGGAATAGTGCAAGTATTTTAACTGGTAGTATATTTCGGCTCAGAGACACGCCTAACAGTTTTTTTGCGAAAATTTGGAATTTAAAAAAAAATTGAAATTTTTTTAGTTTTAAGCTAAAAAAACATCATTTCTTGATAATCTGGCAAAATAGGTAGTAGATTGAATTTACATGAAAGAAAATCCAGAAAAGATCCAGTGGTTCTCAAAATCTAAGCAAAAAAGCAGTTTTTGTTTAAATTTTCAAAGTAAAATAACTCGGTTATTTTGGACTTTTCTGAAAAACGGTAAAGAGAAAAAATATTTCTTTTGACCAAATTTACCCCTTTTGAAATACTTGCACTTATTTCTGGGACACCCTGGGTAAGGGTCAAATCACCGCAAGTAAGGGTGATTTTTGCTAGGGCGAAAAAATCTCTTTTGCCTCTGATTTTTTAAAAATATTGAAATTGTCTTGATCAAAATTTTTATAAATATCAATATCGGGTCGGACAACTGAATTTTTACTAGGAAATAGCTCAGTTTCACAGGGTTCTACTGTTTTATTTCCATTATCGATCACGGTAATTTGATCTTGAATATGCTACGATTTTGAATCACGATTTTGAGAAACTTTAAGACTTCCTAATTCATTCAGGTGAGCTGGCCCAATCCTCTGTAAAATACATTATTTTTAGCTTTTCAGGTATTATACTTTCTTACAGATTGTAGAAAGAAATTCTCTCTTTTCTGGTCCAGCAGGAGCCTCGTCATATATACGTGTTTTAATTTTGGTATAATTCTCATCACGGAACTTTTCCTCGTTTCTACATTTGGCATCTTGTATAATAATGACATGACTCAAACGAAAAAAACCTAGGCAATACCTAAGCAGTGGATATAAATGTGTTCTGAGGTAGATGCTATGTTACGGTCCGTAATAAGAATATTTGGATTTTGGAGACATATTAATATTTTATTATCTAATCTAGTTTAAACCTCATTTAACTTTTCTTTGCTTTTTCACTAATTTTTAGTAAAATTATTCTAGCAAAATGTAAACAACAATTTAGACTTAACTTTTAGTTCTCAGACTTGGCTTTTAGTCCGTCCCCAATTCAAATCAAGCATAGAGATCGTTCCATCTTCATGTTTCTTTCCGTCAACCGCAGAGTTCGCGTCAAATTCGCCTACCTTTTTACTCAGGGGAGCTCGAAAGGTATTGCACCGAGATACAGAATGAGTCTTAAATAAGTGCAAATATTTTCAGGGATAGTACATTTCGACCCCAGGAACACGACTACGAAGTTTTTTTGCAAAAAAAAGATGTTAAAAATCGAGCTTTTTCTTTTAAATTTTCCTGTATATTTTAGAAAATTTTTTAGAACTTCCTGTTAACCGTAAATTTTCCCATGGTATAGTTTATTAATCTTTGATATTACGGCACAAAAAGAGATTTTTTTTAAATTTCAAACTTAATAATAACTCGGTTATTTTGGACTAGGAAAGACGGTAAAGAGAATATATTATGTTTCTTTTATTCATATCTACCAGCCCAGAAAATATTTGCACACAGCAGCACAAATAAGGTGCACTTATAGACATAGACTCACCTTGTAAAATAAAACATTTCAAATGGAACAACAAACAACAGATGTCAGAGAAAGACGATTATATTGATGCAAATTGATTAGTTAGTTAAGCAGTTACTAAGAATCTTACGTAACTTCAGTTAGAAGATTAACCATTTAATTTTTGCTAAATCAATCTTTTTTTGAGCTCTGATCGGGACCGGCCCACCGGGAATTATCCCGTTTTCCCATATGACCCATCCACCCCTGCTTCTTAGTGAAAGAGTTTAGTACTTTAGAATTTTGATGATCTGTCAGTAAGTCACTGTCGAAATTAAAGAAATTTGACATTCATGGGAGTCAAATTGTGAGGTTAATTACTAGATATATTAGCAATATAGCCAACTACAGTATGTCCTCTTGATTAGTAAGAATTAATATTCTTGTCTTTTCCTACGGGGCGAGAGGGGGGGGGGGGGGTTGAAAATTGATGTTAGTTGCTTCGAGAAAAGGATGATACGACTCTGCCTAACTTGACAGTGCACTGTCGTGCCCGTAGATTTTGTATGTATATCTATATTTCAAATACTTCTTTCAATAAAAATTCTCTAGTACAGTTTTGCCAACTATTTTAATCATTGTGGATCACACACGACGTTTATTTTTTTAAATAGGAGAGAAAAACATTATAGCTATTTAGTTTTGGCTCGTCCTGTATGTACGAAGCAATTTATCCTATTTTAGGATGATTAGTTTTGAACAAATCACTAGCATGAACTACTTTTATTAAAAGAATACACTTTTTTTAATATCAGTCATCTTATATGAAAAATATTTTTTTAAATTGCGCCACTATTATCAGCTTATTTTACCAAAAAATGGCGTGAAAATATTAAATCTGTAAACGGCGTATCTACGAAAAGTTTGTGTTCTCAAATTCTCTTTCAGTTAGAGATAATATTAGTATGAACACACAGGAATGGTGTATCTCCTATACCGTAGAATAAAATTAGTTCATAAATGAATTACCACATTTCTATAAACAACACAAAATAGAATGTTTTACATGAAACTTCTTAAAATTATAATTTTCCGATAAATTTATGGGATTTCTTTATGGACATTATGGTGAAGGTAATTGTTATTTTACTTGTTATAAATTGTATAACGTTAGCATCGCCTCCATAATTAATATTAAAAAATATTATATGTCAGAATAATAAAATGTTAAAGGCTAAAAAGAAACTTAAGTTATTATAATATTTTTTCATATTAACAGACAATATACAGGGGCTGGCAATAGTTCGTCGGATATCTGTAATCTGTAGCTCCTATAATAAAATCGTTAGGAATTTTGTATAAGCACAGACCTAAAGCACGGCATATAAATCAATCGGCAGGCTAACTCGCTTTGGCGGGAACGCTACGCGCATATCCTCGCGCACGCCGCCATTTGGGTTTCCATCAACAGAAAGTAACCAGTGTCGTAGTTTTTTCAGCGACAACACACAGTTACGGCAGATTTGGGTCAGTAGCGTGCGACTTAATTTATTTTGATTTTTTCTTGAGTGATATATTTTGTTTTTGTTGTTTTATTTTTGTTTATTATGTGATATATTTGGGTTTTCTAGTTTTATTTTCGTTTCTTATGTATTATAATTGCTAAAAGGTGCCCGGTGGCGTAGAGGTACAGGCTCTCGTCTACCAATCTCAAGGTAGTGGGTTCGAATCCCACACCCGGCATTTCATCAGCCGACAATTTTTATTAAATAAAAATAGTTTGGGTACCTAGGTCGACTCAGCCTTAAATGAGTACTTGGGATTCACAATCCTGAGGTAACGCGAAATTTCGAGAAACAATAGGCGGTTGAAGCGTAGTGCTAGCCACATTACCTTCCTTTGTATACCGAACGGCTCTAGTATGGGAAGCTGTACCTTGCTACTCCCAAGGCGTCAAACGCTATATACGGGAGCTAGTATTATTATAATGTAATATAATTTGTTTTAGTAGTTTTATTTTTGTTGTTCAAGAAAAGTTTCTTTCTGTTTCCTAGAGATCCTATTAGGTATGTATATATGTGATTAATTATTTTAACATATTTTAGTTGTGAAAAAAAAACAGTAGTATACATATTAGGACATTCAGCTAAATAGGAAGATCTAATTAAAAATCTTAACAAACTTTAATATTAGTAAGATTTAATGTT